GCAGCAGGCGAAGAGCAGGGGGGAATGCAACAGCACGTTTAATCAGTTAAAAAACAGAGCATCACACTTTCTGCACTTCAAAGCTGGCTCTGCTGTGCCAAACCAAGTCACTGAGGGTTTAATAAATGGGGAAAACTCCATAAAAACAAGAATGGGAGAAAAACCTGCAGCTGGAAAGAGCAGAGGCCTCCAATGCCACACCTTAAACTCATCTGATATTTCTGAGACGAAGGAAGAGATCTGTTTCATGAGCCTGTCTACACTGCTCTCACTCCCTGTCTTGAGCAGGGTGGTGATGGCGAGAGTGGCAATGCTGCGGTTGGAGTCCGTGATGAGGTTTTCCAGGTCCAGGTTGCAGGCGGTTACGGCAGACGGATGCTTCATGGCCACCTGTAAAGGGAATTCCAACAATTAGGTGGGAGCAGCAGCATCCTGCAATTCAAAACTTTATGTATGGTAAGGATTAAAGTTCTTGCTTTTTCAGGAACTGCTCTGTTCCACAAGTAATGCAAAGCTGTGTGACTAAATGTACATTTATTTAGATTCCATGATTGTTGGCAGGATATAACCAAGGCCCAGGTTTTCACATTTCAGCTTCTAAAATGATCTCCTCTGGCTGCAAACAACAGCTCCTAAGTTGAACAGTCCCCAGCCACGAGCCAACCCCTGCTCTGTTTTCTCTCACGGTGCTCAGCTTTGAAACCAGAACGTTATTTTACTTCCTTCACCCATTTCACAGCATTAAAAATGTGAGACTCTACTTCTTTACTGTTTAGAGATCACAGGTTTCTCAACTATAACTGGCTGAAGTCCTGTGGTGCAGAAATGGCCACACACAGCTTGAGTCTGGATAAGATTTCTGTCACAACAGGAGATCTGGCATGCAAAAACCAATCCTCCAGCATGGAATAATTCTGAATTCAGCAACCACAGGAGCAATTGCTCTATTTTCCACAACACACCATTAGGCACTGAGGTCTGTCTTCCTCTGCTGCTCTGAGATTTAGGTGTATTTAGAAGATCTTGGAAGCACTCACTTTATTAAGGGTCCGTACAGCTGCGTATCTCAATACAGGTTTGGGAGAACTACAGAAAAGCTGCAGCACTGAAAATAAAGAATAAGGAGAAGTAACTCATGACAAAATATTAGAGATTCTCTAACAAAAACTGGCTCCCAATACTCTAGGCACCTGTAACCTCTGGGGAGGGAAGAGCCTTTAGGCACAGAGTTTCCCAAGCCAGGTAACATCTGGGAAGTTGCCTCAATTCAATTCTTTGGTGTTGAGAGCTGCAAACACTGCAGTCAGAATTCACCACAGCAGAAAAACAGATCCTGGCTCTTTCCAAGGAAAAGGAGAAAAGTCTAAAGGGTCCACATGCAACTACGTATTGCTATATACAGTTCACACAGCTCCACTCAGCATTTCCTAGTTTCATAATCAAATTAAAAGCAACCTCCTGTTTTTTTTTTTTCTTACATAGTAGTATGTGATAAACTATGATATAAACTGCCTGGGTCATCAAGTTCATCCCCCATCCCTACTTTTTGCAGTTGGAGAAAGACAAATATCACCCTGTGCCTTAACTGGTCTTCCTCCCTAGAACTCCGGATGAAATGGAAAAAGAAAAAAGCAAAAGAATCAACCTGCTTCCCACTCACAAGCCTCCCAATTTAAGGAAGATGGTAAATTTACATTTTTTGAAGCATTAAGTGACATACTATGCTCAATGGCTTTACTATGTGTTTTGCCACCCTTTCCTTCACAGTATTCCTACATTAGTGCTAGGAAGGATTCTTTATGACCAACCTGAAACAGCAGGTGCCAGCTCCCTCGCCGTGCAGTTGGGAAGATGGATGATCGCGGAGGCGGCTTCATAAATAACCATCTCGTGCTTGTTCCGCAGGCAGCTCTCAATGAAATCAAACAAGGGGCTGTCGTGTCTACGGAGAGAAGGGGGTTCACACTGTGACACTGACCCGTGTACAAACTGTCCCTGCACTTCTGAGAGCCTGACAGACAGCACAGTGAGTGCACTGGCTCCTGCGCTTCTCCCACTGCCATTTTGCTCTATTCATAAGGCAGATTCATGCTTCAACTCTGAACTTGCCATTTTAACACTATTCTACTACTCTCTATGTTATTTTCTACAACCCAGAACTGACACATTCTGGCAATGGATAACTTATTACTAATCATGTTTCACACGGATAAATTACCCCTGATAAAAATTTTATCAGGAGAGGTTCTCAAATAACTGTATTATATTCTATTAGGATGATAAATCAGGACAGGATGGATCCTTTTGTTTAAATAGCTCAGGTAGATTCTTATTGTACTAAAAATTACTCTAACTAGACACAGCAGAAAACACTGCACACATTCAGAAATTATTCTGCAATTTTTGTTCCTACTCTGAAGTCAGTTTTACAAAATGCAAATTTCCCAGGTACTGTTGAACTCTAACTACGATTGTTTTGTAATTCCTAGGCTGTCTCTCACTTACCCCTCTTCGGATTCTTTCAAGAGCTTGCTTGCAATTCGGATCAGCATGCAATAGGCAAACTGGGATTTCAGGCCAGATTTTGTGAACTTATTCAGCATCTTGGAAACTGCGAGGCGATCATTTTTTCTAAGGTGGTAGAGCAGCCCCAGGGCATGATACTAGAAAAGGAAAAGTGAGATGTGCCCAAGAACATGTGAAGATGGTGTATACACACCATGGAAGGAAAAGACAGATTTTGGAACATGCAGGAGGGATAATATTCATCATTTCCTTACATGTAACAGATCTACAGTATTTCTTTCCCCTTCCTGTTTACCATAAGACAGTCTCAACACATTCCTAAATCTCAAGAAAGCCATAAAAATCAATGTTTACTTCCTTTTCTCTCCACTGAATGCCATAACTTCTAATGTCTCAGGTGACTAAGTTATCCTGCACAGCAAGTCTATGCAATAACAGCCAAGATAACCCAAGTGTTTCAAATGACAGCTGACCCTACTAAGAACCTTGAGGCATTTATAGTGAGAATCCGAAGTGCAAAGTACAGAAAAACATTCCCAGTTACTTGCCAAGGCTTTCTGCCATAAGCCTGATTTACAGTAAGGCTTAATGAAGCTGCTAATTGTAGTGGGAAGAAAGCTGTTTTTGCACTTTTGTTTCTGAATGTGGATTTATGACACTGCTTCACTGAACACACCAAGTATTTTCATGTCCATAACTGTTTGGAATATTTGTTTGAAATTTTGCTCATACAGATAACTCACTGATATTCCGGGTAAAAATGTTATGAAGGCCAAGATAAGAAATGGTGGTGATTTGGGAAGCAGTAAATAAGATTATTCCTTGAGTTTAGAAAGCTCAAATTAAAAATCTTTTTTCTGACAATGACAACTGTTAAACTATCTGGGCCCTCACCCTGAACATACCTGTACCATAATGTTGTCACTAGAAGCTGCTTCTTGAGCCTCGTTGATCCACCGTTTTACAACGTCGTAACTGATCTTCATCATATGCTGTAAGAAGCCACAAATTGAGACTGCAAACAAGCTAATATTAGAAGCACTGAGAAGTACCATGAGCCATTTTGTCAGGTTTTGTTAATTGCTTTAAGAATATCTAGGGCTTTGTGGCATAATATTGGAAACAAAGAGCATCTCCTAAATATGTAATCTGTATGGAGGCACCCATACTGATAAAAAGAAAAATAACTCGGAGAGTTTTTGCTTCCATCCTAACAGGACAGAGGAAAAAACAGAACGATTCACCTCTGCCTACTATTAACTCTACCAAGACTGTAGTGATTCGTATCAATGCAGCTTCTGCATTTTTTTCAGGGTCCTACACAGTTCTGCTCCAATCTCTAATTTCCTGTTCTCAGTGATTTACTAATGCAACCTGTCTCTTTAATCCATGTACCTAGGATCTCCTTTTTCTTATGTATCAAGCTCAAACTACCATGCTTTCACCTGCACCTTCCCTCTGAGTAAAAATATTAACCTATTCTGAGTAAAAATACTAACCATTAGATTCTTTCTCAGGCTTTTCTCTTAATCAGTAGAGGCAAAATTCACAGTGAACTTCTTTATCTGACCCTCCTCCTACATACTAGGAAAAACAATCTTGAATTACACCTCATCAGGGCAGGAATTTTGTTGATTTGTTTTTTGCACAGCACAAAGCAGGTTGTTTTTATATTCTGTTCTAGAACTGATAAGCACTTGCACAGTAATCACTGTTTCTTTTTTTTTTTTTTGCAAAGCACAAAGCTGGTTGTTTTAGATTTCTATTACAAAATTGTTAAGTACTTTTCAGGGTTAAGTGGCTTAAACTTTGAGAACACAAAGCTGTGGTGCAACACAAAGCTCCTTTCCAGAGAAATGAATGTTTGGTTCTAAACACAGAGAGGGGACTGAGCATGCTGCAATTTAGTAGTTTTATAGTGCCTCTCTTGCAATATGGAATTCTAAAGAAAAGGACAGGCTGCTTGAAACACAGGAAATTCTGTTTCTGCTGTTTTTTTTTTGTTGCTGCTGTTTCTTTCTCAATGAGGAGGCAAAGATTACTTATGTTAAAGGAAATTAAAAAAGAACCAAAGGCCAGCCAAAGAGCTACACATATTACAGACTAACCACAACAATACACTGATTTACAATAATCTACTTCTTCACTTACTAAGGAAGACACCAGTGCAGAACTGGACACGCTGGGGACTTTGTCCACAATGGCTTGCTTCATGTATCTCTCAATGGCTTGTAACATTGTACCCTGTGAAAGAACAAAGAAAAGAGTTGATGTGCAAGCTCTGCGGGCAGAGCACAAAAGCAGGGCAAGACAGAAACATCTGCACGTCATATTCAAAAAACTCTAGGGAAAAAAAATCTCATTTTTGAATTCAAATGATCAAACTAGGCCTCAAAACACCTGCTCTTGAAAGGGAGATACACCTGACAGCAAAGCAGCCCCGGAACAGAAACTACAGCCCCCAAGGTCCTTCCCTTTAACACCCAAAACAACAGTGTGACTTGTACTTACATCGGTGATCCTGCAGAGAGCTCTGATGGCTGGGCCTCGGTACACGTCTTCCTTCCCTGTCATGTCTTTGGTCAAACTACAATAATCAGAGAGGGGTTGTTAACATTTCTTTAACATCTCTGTGTCTCAGTCCTTTGGGGAAATTTAGTTCATTTTATTTAGCTGAAGCTAATTTCAAACTATTACCATATAACTATTAACTAGGATTAATACTGCCTAGAAACAACTTCTTAATAATTATTAGCATCACTTTCTACAGACATACAGAACATTAAAAAACACATAGGCCATAAAATTGCTTTGCTCTGGAATTGGTTTATTCAGCTCAGGAATTCTTTTAATGTTCCTCTTCTTTCTAAACTTCATTATCATCTAAATTGAAATTTTATGTGCTAGTTTCCAGAACAGTTTCAAAATCAATCTCTAAGCAATTTCCAGAGGTCCAGTTTCAGCTCTCACATCAATATTTTTATTTTTTACTACAGAGCAAATACTTGATGGATCATCTCGCAGGATGATAAAAAAGTAACTTACTACTAAACTGTATGCAACTTTCTCTCCCCCCTTTTTAAGAAAAGCCTAATAACATGGTCTAAGAAAACTGAAGTTTTATATGGTGATAGTCAGTTTTACAGAACAATTTATTTTACCTTACTCTATGCTTTAAAAAATGTAAGTGCAAAAAATGTAGCAGCTAAAAAACACATTAAGATACAACTGCTGGTACCAGAGCTCTCATAATGTGTTCTCTGTAGTTCTACTACCTGCTGGTGACAATGATGACGTCTTCAGAGATATTGGCCATCTCTTTGATTGTAAGGTAACACATTCTTCTAAGGGTTTGCTGTGAAAACATAATGAAAAATAGCAATAAATCTTCCCTTTTAGAAGTTAAATGACGCCACAGAACACCCTTATCCCCTCTCAGTCTATACACTACGTATATGTCTAATTTCACCACAGACTGTGGACATTATCAAAGTTTTTGCAAAGTTCTGTTAGTGCAGCGAACCTCAGAAAAGTTTAGAGCACAAATTAAAGTCAAGTTAAAGCATGAGCCACTTTGCTGCAAATTAGAACCTCTAATTTCAATGAATGAGGGGATCATGTCAATTTTAAGTGATAATCTGTGTGCAGAAGCCATACAATTATTATTAAGAGCTTTAAAATTGACTCCCCTGACCTATTTATTATTGCCAAAGAAAAAAACAGAAATGTGCAAAGAGCACTAACATTTAACTCTGTGAAAGTAAATGACATGTTTTGCACTAAAAATATTTTCTAGAATCTTCTAGAATATGGATATAAGAAATCTGTCACAAATCTGTTACCTTTTTAAACAGTTGCATATGAAACCTTCTGTAGGTAAATCTCAAAAAATAATGTGCTGGTTTATTTTTAACAGAAATAAGGATACATTGCATAAAGTTATGGGGCCCTGACACTGTCTGCAAAAGGGATCAGAAAGGGACTTCACAAAAGGTGTAGTAAAAAGTTGCATCCAACATTTTCAGGGTGTTCTCATCATTTTCTGCTGAGTTATGAGCATAACAAGCTCTTCTAGAGAACACTAGTATCTGAATGACAGGCAAATTTTAAATTTTATTTTGACAGTTAAGCAAATGGAGATTACTTGCAAGTGCAGGACACGCTCACAAAATTATAGTGATTTCTATAGTGTATTTGCCTATCTGTGCTTTAGAACTGAAAAATAATTTAGGAAATAAAATAAAACACTCACAGAGGTAACTACATGTTATTACGCAATTATTTTCAAACTACAACAAGCAAATCATTTGCATGCACAGCTTGTTCTCTGAAGTACTCGCTCCACATTCTTCCCACATCATTAAACTCGACTCTTTTGCAATTATTTGTGAATGCTGCCAAGAGTAGGGAGGCAAAAAGCTTTAAAAATACACACACACAAAAAGCATCAAAATAAAACATTAAAACCAGACACTTACATCATTAGATTGAAACAATCTGGTCATTGCAAAAAAAGCTTCTGTGGCTTCAGTGGTTCCAAAGTGCTCACCCTAAAAAGAAGGCAAACAAGAAGTGAGAGATTTGCCAAAGCATCATTTGCCACCAGGCTCCACTCCCCACTTGTGCCACCTACTTTCATAGTGACAATTCTTTCCCCAAGGATGTTTTCTCCTCTGAGAAAGTCCCTCCCTCACCTTGTGTTTCTTGGGCAGTGCATGCTAATATTACCAGTTCTTACCTATTGGCTTCAATACAAATGTCACCCACAGCTGAACAGAAATGGGATAGTTTGCCCATTAAACTGTGTTCCCTCTTTTGACTTCCAAGTATTAGCAGTTAATTTTGCTTCATTTTCATTAATGAGAAGGATCCCCTTGCAATCTATTTAACATGCGACTTGTGCCAACTAAGACTGAACAGCATAGGTTCATCCTAACTCTATGTTAAATATTGCCCGATATGGCAGGGAATCTGGTCTACGTGAATATATAAAATCTGCTTCCTTATCAGATTTCCAATTTCTCCATAAATAATAATAAAAAAAAAAAACACTTTTCACTTGTGGCTTCTGTTCTTACCTGACTCACTCATTTTGCCAGACAAGAACAATTCTTAATTACACAGCACCATATTAAACACAGAGCAACTGGCAGCTCTCACTTTGCACTCAGAAAAGTCATAAATCCTTCAGTGACACCTCTCAGCTCACCTCAGAAGAGCAATCACAAGTGAAAACAGAGTACTACAGAACAAACACTCCATTTCTGATATCGCTAAAAAGTTGTCTTTTGAGTCCACCAGAAGTATCAAATTTCTTTCCCTGAAAATTATCAGAAATTAGCACCAGGAACACTCAAACACAGCACAAATATGATGGTGTAACCCAACAATCATATTTTTTTCTCTTTATAATAGACATTAAAACAATTTGTTTTCATTCAAGTGGCTTATAACTTTCTCATTTTAAATGCAACCCAATTAACTTAGTCCTGGTTGTTCTGTTCAGGCATGTCTTGCTGGGTGAGCAGCAACCTGAACCCATTTTATTATGCTCTCAATTCAGAGCTTAATCAAAACTCGTCCCAGACATTTGGTACCAATAATATTACTTTAAAATAAAAGCATATTTTTAAAATGTTCAACTCAATTCCTTCAGGCAGTAGTATCTACTCGGTGTATCTGCCCTATTCATAGGGCAAATTGAAATTATTAAGTTCCTATTTATATCCCTTTGCACCTCAAAGAATTACCCAAATATTTAATCACCCATCCATCTCACTACTTGCAATTGCTCTTGGAGTACATAAAAAGAAGCAGGAAGACCCACTATGAAAATTATAGATTATTATACTCAGCTCCATGCTGAGTGAGCACAGGAAAGCAGGATCATCTCTTCCAAAGTGCCTCGGAGCATCCACAGGGAAACCAGAAGCCTATTCCCATCCAAGTGCCCCACACGAACCCTCTCATGGAAACTTGGCATGCTCTTCATTCATCTGCCCCTGGGAATTTAGATTATCCATCACACCCCGATCAGAGGCAGTTAAATAACATCATGGAGTAATTATTCCTACCTCCTGGAGCACGGCACTCTTCTCCAAGTGCTGGAACGGATTAGAGCCACTACCTGAATAAGAAAACAGATCTCTCTGTTAGGGAAACATGTTAACCACTGTGTGGAAACAACAGGAGAGAAGGTGCAGGAACCAGCCCTAAGCTTCCCGGGAACATCTCACCACATGGGGAACAAATCCACCAGTGACACTGCACTTGGAATAACCCATGTTCTCCAACAACAGCTTTGAACCTACTTCCTGTTACAATGCAAGTAACAAAAAAAAAAAAAAAAAGAAGAGGAAGAGAAGAGGAAGGAAGAACGTCAGATTAAAGACAGATGGAGGGTTAGGAGGAAGAAAAGTATTTACTATTAAAGCCGTCTTAATGCCCGCTTTACATGAGTCTCTACTCCTTTTCTTTCCAGACTTCCCTTTTCTATTTCAGGCACAGAGAACACTGAACATATCAGGATGCAGATGCTGCTAAGGACGTAAAATGACAGTTTATTGACTAACGTGCCACTGGAAAGAGCTCTCCAGCAAGCTACAAAAACAGTGTGGCTGCTACGTGTCACAAAATCATCAATATTAGGGAAACTCTGCAGAGTCTGTAACGGGCTGCAGAGCCTGAGACCGTTACCTGCCAGCTAAAAACAAGCTCTGCAAGAGACTTCAAACACACTGCAGAGGGAAAACGTGATGCGAAGCACAAAGGCATCCTTGTGCCTGTTGTAGGGGAACATGAATATCTTCCACAGTGTAGCCCCTACTCCTTGCTTTGGAGAGTCATCTTTACACAGAATAAGTTTGAGTCTGCTGGAACGCAGACGGAAGCTCTGAGCCCCAGACAAGGTCAGGAAGGCAGGAGGGACTGGCCCCTCTTTAGTCCTTGGGAGTAGAAACCGAAGGGAAAAGCTCTGGATTATGGTTTTTTCCTCTGCTGGCAGCACACCAGGCAGGCAACTTCCTAATGCAGGTTTCAAGGAAAACCCCCCTCGTCATCGCATCCCTACAGACCCAGGTGCTGCTCCCGGATCTTTTTCCCTACTTCTTCCCAGGCAGAAGGGAATCAGGGGTGAGATGAAACCCGAATGCAACGGGGGGCATTTTGAGGCCTCCACAAGAACCCGAACCCAACCGGGGGCATTTGGAGGGCTCCAAAGAG